GAACTCGGACGACATACGATTCTTTGACAACAACATGTGAGTTATGGGCAGACTTCCCATTTTAACGAAGCCCAAATAGTCCGAAAAATATCCCATTGCAGCTACCAACTCAAAAAGCAAACGCCTGTTATTCCCAAGGCCATCGATACCAGTCTAGTGCCTTTTATATAGATATGAAAATGCAGCATACGGGGGGGAAATGGAAATTAGTAAGTTTTTGAATTTTGCCCAAAGATGTTTTTTGTTCTTATCAAACTGATGTATGTTCAAGTATTAATTCTCCTGATAAATGTGTCTAAATTCAGATATTTGATGCTATGAAAAGGAACTTCCTGATTGACAATTTTGATTCTCTCGAAAGTGAAGGTATCTCGAGCTAACGTATTTCACGCTAATGTATATTGTGCTAACATATTCAAACTATTTTGATTTCAGATCTGTAGAGTAGAAGAAGTAAGCCACGTGACAGAACTTTCTACATGTATTAATCCAGTGATTCTCAAACTTTTTTCAATAATGTACCCCCTTTGAAAAAAAAATTCAGCCAAGTACCTCCTGATCAGCGCAAAAACTATTTGTTAGTGAAAAAAAGCCTATATTAAGAGGTAAAGTACAGCCTTGCACCATCAGTGTCTGATTTATTAAAACAACAACATTGTAACTGAGAAACACTTAAATGCTACATTTCAAATGTTTACAATCCATCACTAAATTCATGGCAAACCAATTTTAATATCATGCAATAACACTGAGACGACATTAGTTGCATTGAACTGATCTTTTTAATAAGTTGTACTTACAATTTGAGAAACATGGGCTTGTGCTTCACTGAGGACCTTTGTCATTCTGACAGGGAGGCAACTGCAGTTATTACACTTCGTGTTTTGAAATATGTGTAACTCTAGTCTATTAATATAAAACCCACACTGCTCAAACTTCGTTACTTTTCCTAAAATTGGTATATTTATCTTTTTTTTTCTTTTTTTTTTTTTTTTTTCATTAACATAAAATAAATCTCACGTACCCCCTGCAGTACTCCAACGTACCCCTAGGGGTCCGTGTACCCCCATTTGAGAACCACTGTATTAATCCATGTTAAAGGCATGAGAGTGGTACATCTTCTCAGAGAATAAGCTAATCTCCAAACTGTTCCTATACCCTTCGCAGTAAATAAACGAAAAGTGTTATTCTTTAGCTACTTGTGTATGATGACAGCTTGTGCTCCTGTGCTCCTGCAGGTACGTCAGAGGATGGTTCAGCCCGTTCCACAGACAGAGGAAGATGGTCACCTCCCTCATCACCCGGCAGATTCACAGCCAAGCATCAACGTGAGTCTTTTATTTCATTACACAGCTTTGCCTTTCATTCATTTCAACATATTCTGAGTTAGAAATACCTAATTTTGAGTTATTTTGACACAATTAACACTTGTAGTTTCATGTCTTGTTACATAAGAATAGACAATAATTATGGGAGAATTACTATTCGTGTGATACTACTGCCTTATTAGGCCCATATTGAGCATATTAAAACCCAAACTCATGTACAACAACGTCCTTACTTAAAATAAATAAGCACTTATTAGAGGGTTATTGAGGAAAAACTCTCAACTAATGGCTTATTACTTGTAGAATATGGTCATGTAGAATAAGGCATTAATAAGTGTTTTATAATGACTAATAAAGAGCCAGTATACTGCTAATATGCATGTTAATTAACAACTAGTTGATGGTGAACATGTGTGGTGGCGTTTTAATCCGTGTCTACATTTAAAAGCCACTTCTCTGTCGGGGTTGTGGGTTTTGACGCGCCTCTCTTTAGCGGAGATCGTTGTTGAATCAGATGAGCTTTATTCATTGGTCCAGACGGAATAGAAACAGGAGGACACATGTCCTCGCCTTAATATAACGTGTTACCGAAATCCCTTCTGCTTTCAGGTATTTGGCTACGATCCAGGAGAAGGTGGAGGCTTTGAAAGAGGAGATGGTTCGTCTTTACCCAGATTCAACCGCCGAGGAGTGGATCGAGGAGCACGTCAGCCCTGTGGTGGCTCCTCTGCAGAGGATCATGGAGGATTTCTCTGCCTGTGTGACGGAAACGCAGCCTTAGAATGTTTTACCAGCTCAATATCAGACTGCTTTTTGATGCATTTCAATGTTGATTTGTTGTTTTTTTGCAACCAGCACTTTAAGTGGCAAAACACATCTGTTAAAGTTCTCCCAAATGGTGTAATTGTGAGTGTTGTAACAGCAAAAACAACCTGATTGCTTTTCATTTACCTCCAAGTCTAAGAAATTAGGGTTGTCGAAGTTACAGTATAATAACTTTAATAATTGTAATAAATCATTTTTTGTATTAACGCAGTTATGTTTCCCAAAGTCAGATTGCAACTAACTAGCATTTCAAGATTCAAATGGTTCATTTCCACTGCATTATATTGCGTAAAAAGCATATTGTTCACTGTCATGTTAAAGGTGGGGTAGGTCATTTTGGAGAAACCAGTTCGAGTGCGCTAGAATTTGAAAATACACAGCCGGAAAAAATCTGCCACTTCCTTACAGAGCCCCTCCTCCAACACACACGAACACGCACATGACCAATGAGGGCACCAGATAAGTTTGTGCACAGATGGAAGGCTGACAGGCAGGTAGGCCATCTAAAAGGCTAAAATGATTGGTCGTGCTTTTTACAGTATTACGGCTTCCACAGATGACATTTTTTTATGGGTTTTTTGTCAAAGCACTTAAGATATTAATTGATATCGGGATGTTAAGAGCATTCCATGGAATATAACAAAAAGTGTATCTCGAGCCGGTTTCTCAAACTTACCTACGTCCCATGGCAGACAGAATTGCATTGTAAAAGCCAGGCTTATAGTGAGTGAAGTCTCCTTTTCTGACGTTGTGCAGTGTACATTTGCTTCATACTTAAGGGTTAAGTATAAAAGAAATGTCTACTGCCATCTAAAATGAACAGGAGTGAATGTAAGAGCCAACTGATGAATGTAAATTGCACAAACTGTTAGGAAGGAAATAATACAAAAATGGGACTTTGGGTTTAGTTATAAAATCATTTTATATAATTCCTTCCAAAATAAGCAAAGACTAATGAATCAACAAACAATCACAATTCTCATTTTCTTTTTAAGAGAACAGAAGACACTGACATTAATCTAAAGTAAAAGGTAAAGTCTGGGTAAAAAAGGTCTACATTTAAAACCTGTTTTCTGACATTGAGGAGTTATTCGCTGAATTTGACAAAAAGTGTATTGGAGATACAGACACCATTTTATACACAATACAGAAAAAAAGGGTATAGTTTGCCTGAGATTCAGTCTTTGGTTCACATAAGGTATTAAAAAAAGAACAGAAAAACTACCATAAGTCAAAGCATTTCACATATAATGTACTCTTAATTGAGCCATGAAAATCCTTCACGCTTGATTACAGTTTGCACATACGTTCATCTCAACATGCTAAAGGTGATTATTATCTGGGTGGTCCCACAACACTCTGGGGAAAAAGCACTTTCCTTTTCATTTACACCCATAAACACTCATTAGAGTTCAGTAGGAAGGCACAGTTAATCTGGAGTGTATTCCCAAACAGTAATTAGATCAAAAAGCTAAGGCATCTTCATTTACAGAGAAAGAACGTTTTTACATATTTCGTAAAATTGTTCGAAGGTTTGCCGACAAATGGATGGATGACAAAACATTTAAAAAAGGGTCTAATATGTAACATTTCCACATTACATTTCTTAAAACAAGACCTATGTTATATATTTATTTGAGATGTGTATATTCAGGGAAATTTGTAATATCTCCTGTTAAGGCGTCACATTAGCATGAGTCAGCATTGTCTACCAGAAGCTGTCATAAATTGACTTTTTATACAATTTTAAGCCACATTTTCAGCATACATTATGTATATATAGATGGGTTTTAACTCTATATTTTAACCAGGGGAAAGATATTTTAGTAAACAGACACCTGGACCTTAAATTACCAAAGAAACAAGCTGAGCAAACGTTAGCCCTTAGGATTTAGCATGAGTCAGCGTTTTCCAGAAGCTGTCATAAATTGACTTTTTATACAATTTTAAGCCACATTTTTAGCATACACTTTTAGTATATTCAGTAGGATTTGTTTACCTCTTTAACCAGATGAAAGATTTTAGTAATCGGACATCTGGACCTTAAGTTACCAAAGAAACAAGCTGAGCTAACGTTAGCCTTAAACTAGCATCCAAATAGCATTGGAGAAACACTGGTTTTTAAAAGTAAAACTGCTTTATTCAGTGTATTTATCGGTTTTACTGAATGAATGTTTGTTTCAAAGAGGAGGACACCTCTGTATATAATTCTGCTGCAGGTCAAATGTTTCTTTTAATCTGTATTTAATCTGTATGTAATCTGTGTTTGGATGCTATTGCTACCATCCAAACAGTGTTGGAGAAACACTGATTTTAACGTATAACTGATTTATTCAGTGTATTAAGGGGTTTTACTCAATACATGTGTTTGTTTTGGAGAGGAGAAGACGTCAGTGGATTGTTCAGCTTCAATTAAAATCCTCCTTAATACTTAATTGATCAAACATCTGGATTTTAAATTATCAGATAAACAAGCAGAGCAGACATTAGCAGTTAGCTTGTAGCAGTGTCTACCAGGGAAACAGTGATTTTTTATGAAAAACTTGATTTATTCAGGGGTTTTCATCAGTTTTAAACAAGAGGAGTGCTTTTTTTGTAAGGAGACCTCTGTGGATAATTTGGCTTCTGTTAAAAACCTCCTGAACGATGAAAAACGAAATAATCCTAACCAGGAGAAACTGATTGCAACGATCAGCTATGACACCAAACAAAAATGACATAGTGTACTTCAATTTGATAATGTTGCCGTCCCAGTCACATGAAAAATGTCATTTAAATATTTTACTCTAGCCTCCCAAAGCTGCCGTTATCCCACCTGACGTATCAAAAAAAAAAATCTGGAAGAGGCTAGATGTTTCATGCTCATGCTAACAGTATCAGTAAACCTGGACCCTCTGTGATGCGTTCAGAGAGATCAGAGTTTTTCTGCTTCTTCCTCTGAATCACTGCTGTTATCCAGAGAATTCTCCTCTTCCTCCTCTTCCTCTCCTGCATACTGAGCCTCCTCCTCTTTCTCCCTGCGCTGCTGCAGCTCCTCCAGACCCAGGAAACGTTTCAACAAAGCAGCCAACGCCTCCACATCACTGAGAGAAACAGGAGGATCACACGGATGTTATGCAATTTGTTGTGTTGTGTTGTTTAGAAAGAGCCTTTTCTTCCGAATGTTATTTGGATTTAATAATAACTATATAATCAGAAGGCTTTCAATCCAAGTTTTACAAAATTCATTGAGTTCATAATGAGGTCTTTAAATACATTTATGACTGTTCACAATCTTTTTCTGTGAGAGCTGTGAGAGAGAACCAGAATAATAACACTCTGGGTATTAAAACCAAAAATCATGAGCTTTTAAGAGGCTGAAACGCTGAAAATTATGTGTTTTTTTATGAGACACATTTGTGTAGATATCTTTTTATCCTGGATTTTATCAAGCTACATTACACCTTATTTTCTATTCACTTAAAATGATGTGCATTGTTAGGAACAAGAGAATAAAAATAGGTTTTTATATAAATGGATCAGGACAAAAAGAGAGAGAATCTTTGTTCCTGAAACTTTCAGAGTCTCTTTCCACAGAGGGGACACATGTTGATGTAGAAGAGACATGAAGAAGAGGGGACACATGTTGATGTAGAAGAGACATGAAGAAGAGGGGACACATGTTGATGTAGAAGAGACATGAAGAAGAGGGGACACATGTTGATGTAGAAGAGACATGAAGAAGAGGGGACACATGTTGATGTAGAAGAGACATGAAGAAGAGGGGGCACATGTTGATGTAGAAGAGACATGAAGAAGTGGATTTTGCATAATAGGTGACCTTTACAGCAGAAGAAACATACCTGCGCCCCCCCAGCATGGCGCTCTGGGTGAGGGGGTAGGAGAACCCCGCAGCCAGCCTCAGCATCAGCAGGTATCCCTTCCCCAGATATCTGACCTTCTCCTCCTGAACGCAGACGTCACACAGCTGGGTCAGATCCAGCACAACTGAGAGAGAGAGAGAGAGAGAGAGAATAGATGAATAGATGGATAGATAGATAGATAGATGAATAGATAGATAGATGGATGGATGGATGGATGGATGGATGGATGGATGGATGGATGGATGGATGGATGGATGGATGGATGGATGGATGGATGGATGGATGGATGGATGGATGGATGGATGGATGGATGGATGGATGGATGGATGGATGGATGGATGGATGGATAGATGGATAGATAGCTCCAGTGTTACTGACCTTTCTCGTGGCCTTTCCTCCACAGCGTCAGCACTAAAGCGTACAGACTGAAGGTCTTGAGCTCGATCAGGTTTTTGGTTTTGTCGAACACGGCCTCCTCCCACTCCTCCATGTTCTGCATGGCCACAAACAGGCAGCCCGTCACGTAGAAGAGCTTCCACAACATACTGTCTGTGGGGTTAGAAACACAGGGACTATAATGGAGCTGCAGCAAGTTAAACTACAGAAAAATATTATTTAGTTTGATGTACCTGAGCTGTAGTATGCAGCCGCCAACCCAACAGATGATATACCTGCAAAATAAATTAGACATATTATTGATTTTATTTCATATAACAACTCACAAAAACTCACCTCTTCAATCTGGCTTCTAATGTGTGATTTATTTGTTGTTCTTTTCTTCACTATCTCTGTAAAGCGACTTTGAGCACCTGTAAAAGCGCTTACAAAATAAATGTATTATTATTTCATATATTAAAAGTACAGTCCATTCATGTGCATACAGTGAAGGCAGGACATGACCATGCTACTTAAATCCCTTTTTTTACACTAATACACCAAATAGAAACATGAAATAATCAATATTATGAAGTCATACAAACATATATTTAAAAATCAAACAAGCACACAAATTCAAAAACATAAATTAGAATATTTTTCACACTATTTATTTACTGGCCATTCATTTTCATGCTGTTTTTTTAAATGGACAATGGGGAGATTTGATTGTGAAATGGATTTGATTTCACTCCTCTCTGCTAATGTAGAAAAAGGTGCTACTATGTACTTTACTAGATTAATTAGCGAGGGTGACAGATGTTTGAATTAGCAGTATATGTATCAGTTAAATATATGTTTTTAAGTCACTACAGAGGGTCATAAACCATTTCTAAGTAATAAAATGTACAAAGAAGCGTGATAAAGTCATACCTAATGTGGTGCTACTAACCCGCAGTATGTTGTTGAAGAGATATAAAACAGAGAACGGCAGAAAATCTCTATATTTGAGAAGCAAAAAATAGCATTTTGTGGCATTTCTACAAGAAGAAATACCTAACTATTGGATTATAAATGAAAACAGAATATTACTTTAATGTCAATCGACGTAGTGTTGCAGTTTTATTAGTTTTGGATGTTCATTTATGTTTTATTGCACAGATTGTGTGAACAAGAGCTGAATCCAGATCGAATGCACGCTGAAGGCTCTTTGAGCATCTCTCACTGATCCTGCTGTTATGTTACATGTTTGTCACCAGGGGTTCAATTGGGCCGGCACATAGGACGATGCTCTGACGTCATCACCCTCGCTCATTTGTCATTTGTTTAAGCCATATGTTAAACCATCTCTCGTTCTTAATATAGACTTTATTTAGGGTCGATATGTTGACTTCACTTTAAAATAGCAGATCTCTGTGACATGATATAGTTTTTCCGCTTAGTGAACGTGTGTCTCTGCTCCGATCAGGAGCTGCAGCACCGCGTGTGTGTGTGTGTGTGTGTGTGTGTGTGTGTGTGTGTGTGTGTGTGTGTGTGTGTGTGTGTGTGTGAAGAAATGTTTGAAAATGTAAAGTCAAATGCTTCAATCTGGTGCACTTTAAGCACACATTACTAGAGACCTGATCTAGGGGGTACAACTCTAAACACCCATATGAAAAAGATCTGTTTACATTTTAATAATCAAATATGTGAACATAACCAACAACCATAGCCAATAACAAATAAATGTAACTTATTTTATTTTTGTTGTTCATTCATATCTTATTTTACCTAGTTAAAATGTATTTATGCATATTTTTATATCTCTCAAGTTTTAAATGATATTTCTGGTTTACTGTCCTATAGTATACATTGGAATGATTTCTAACCTGTTTATCCAAATAATTATAAAGGAGTGCCTTGGAAATATTTGTTTACATAAATTGCATTTATCTCTCTCTCTCGCTCCCACGCCCACTTTGGCTGTGAGCTGCGGACGCCTGATAAGCCAACACCCCCCACTTTCATCACTTACAGCGCTCATCGTACAGGTTGAAAAGTGTAACCGGGGTGAAAAGGGTGTTACCTTGACTTAATTATGAATGTTGTTACATCAAGGCAGAAAATTAGGATGAGCGCAAACAGTCAAAAAGGGTTTTTCCCCCCCAGATCTGGCGCCCTAGGCGACCGCCTATGCCAAAAACCGGCCCTGTATTTGTACACCATGCTAAATGTATGTCTGCATAAAGCTGAGTTATGATCGGTCATAATAACACAGAATTTGGTGATGATTAAATAGTTTACAGTGAGATTTACTCCCATACTTTTGGCCATACTCACGCAGCCCTACAAATGAATTGAGATTTCCACACAAATGTTCTTTAGCACGTGTGCAGAGCAGTGTTGATTTAAAAAAGCAATTTGAAGGTTGGATATTTGTAAACCTTTTTTTATGTATATATATTAATAATTTAAGATGTAAATTAATTCCAGTTTATTTGTAGTACTTTCTATTTTTATTGTGACATTTGGTGGCATCAATGTGTGCATTTGATACAGATAATGGAGCAGTTGCTTTAGGGCCACAGTGTATATCCCTTAAGGTCAAATAATGAGATCCTCGACCTCCGCCCCCCTCTCGCACCTCCACACAGAGCCCCCCCACATATCAAATCCCAACTTAACCCCTGTTTGTCACTATAGCATAATAACCTGTGAGACTGTCCAACAACATCATCTGGGACCCCAAGCATGCTCTGAGCAAATAATATGAACAGCTACCATCTAATGGAGATTGAATAAAGTCAGCCTGAAGCATCCTTTGTGCTCCAGTCTGTCCTCTCAGTGAACACAGAGCGACAGATCAGATGCACGCTGAAGGCTCTTTGAGCAGCTCTCACTGATCCTGCTGTTATGTTCAATGTTTGTTTTCCATGTCTTGTGTCCTGATATTTGTCTGTTGATGTTCCACATGGAGCTGCTGTGATGCAAGGAGCATTTCAGACTCGATCTGACCATTAAAGTATTATCGTATCGTATCGTAACATTTGCGCACACACTTACCAACGAGCAGAGACCAGGAGCGCAGGCCTGGAGATCTCTTCAGGTGGAGCAGCGTGGCGCTGTGCTCTTCTACCATCATGTAACCCATCTGAACTCAGACAAACATATATATACACTTTACATGTAGTTAAAGCATATTTCACATGATATTAATACCAGTTAAAGGTCCCATGTCATGCTTTTCTGGTTATTACCCGTCCCCTTGTGTGTTATGAAGCTTCTGCATGTAAACGGTCTGCAGAGTCACAAACCCTGAAAGTACACCCTGTAGCGAGTAAAACTCTAACACAGAAAAGACCTGTCTATGCTGCCCCAGAACGCCTCATTGGACATTTCTCTTTTTCCATTGTTTTCTTCCTGGGTACAGTGACGTGCCCATATCCAAATGGATCAATCCGTGGAGCCGTTATGTTGCGTCCGCGGAGCCGTTACGTTAAGTCAGTGGATTGGTCCAAATTGACCAATCCACTGACTTCCTCACACACACACACTCAATCTTTTCTCAGCTGCAGCTCCGCCGATTTCTCCTCCCTGAGACGGCGGGACGCGGCGAGGCTGTGAGTCGGTGTGTGAGCACACACACAAACTCCCAGCCAGGCTGTGGGTGTGTGTGTGTGTTCGGGCTGGGTTTCGCTGTGTCTCGCAGACGGCCACTGGGCTCACAGGGGGGGGGGGGGGGGGGCAGGAGCTCCAACAAGCCATTTAGGACAGAGAGTGAATACACATACTATACAGAGATGCTGTTTGAGAAACCAATGTGAGTTTGGAAAATGTCACAATATAAATCTATTCTAGTAGACCTCAACAATGGAATAATGATCAGTAGAAATGGCCATGACATGGGACCTTTAATACAAACCACTGAAATATATCCTGGAGTTGAAATACAGAAAGTTCTTTATCCTGTCTTCGGTAACCATGATAGTTAAGGTTAAGCCCTGATTTAGTCAAATATGAGACAAAATAGATGAAGGTTATTAATTCATTACTCCTATCTTAATTTAACAAAGGGAACGTGTATATCACAACCATCCTTACTTAACATAAAGTCACCTTACTTCAACCGTTAAAATGTCCCAACGTTCACTAAAATCTTAAATAGATTCATTGTTAATGTTTCTTTAAGAGGTTTTTGTGTTTTATGTGTATTTCTCTGCAGATGTTAATCATTGAGAGTTGATCCAGTCTGTTAATCAAATATGTCCAAGTTAATTAGGGTAATGCAGATTGGTTTCTGTTTTATACATACAGAAATAGTCTCCAAACTTTAATCTGTGGACAGTATTTCAGAGGATTATCCACAGACTTTGTATCAGCAGAGTCCATCCAACTCTATTGTTTTAGGGTGTGGACAGAGGTGGATACACAAATACAAACAGGTTATATGCCTGGTTACATATCACAGGAGGTAGGAGAATAACATGTATGTTTTGCGATTATTTTTCAGCAATTAAACTCCTTAAATAAATCTAAAAACCCACCAAGACACAAAGATGCTCCTGCAGAAGATGCACTGGATGTAATGGACACTTCTCTGCCTCAAAACAGCTTTATAAATATACAAACTTTAAGACATGTTACATTTCTTACCTTTAAATCTTCTTCCTCTGCGTTAGTTTTCGCGTTGCAGTGTTAGAAAACGGTTATTTGTGGAGGAAACACATGTCGTGAATTATAAGGAAGTTATTTTCATGTTAATGCAACAACACGACTTCCTTCCTGGATCCCTCGCCTCTGATTGGACGAGCTCACTTTCTCGCCGCCTTCGAAATAAAAGCATCAAACGCATACATGTAGATTTACTGCGCACGTTTTTCGTTTTTCATACAACACGAATGCATTTTTCAAAAACCATTATCTTCCTTATTTGTTATACTAGCTTTACTTTAAAATTATTTTGAGAATATTCGTATTTTTGTTTGTTTGGGAACTACTTTGAAAATCCAACTACTTTGAAAAGCCACTTCCGCATTAATTGATCTCTTAACGTCTCCACGTCTACGTCTACTCTTGGAAAAATACGATATGGGTTGTTAACTACCGGATCCTACAGGGTGTCCGCGGGGGGTCTTAAAAAGTATTAAAAGTTGATTAACCAATTTAGCGAAAATTAAGGCTATTAAAAAGTATTAAAAAGTATTAAACGGCATTTTCCAAGGTATTACATTTTGTAGCTTGTTTTCAATAAGTATATAAATTGTCCAAAGAGGTTGTATTCTACAGTTTGCCTGAATGTAATCATTGCGTAGGTGTGTAGTGTGATTCTGTGTACTTTATTTATGGCATCCCGTTGGATTGGACTGGACGTCATCTGATATTTTAATTAATGTGAGGTAAAGTGTGTCGCCAATGTAACCGGTTAGAACTCGAAGTGGCGATGAGGTCTTAAAATGTTTGGAAAGGGTCTTAAAAAAGGTCTTAAAAGGTGTTACATTTGATTCCTGCTTATACCCTGTCCTAGTTTACCTCACATTATTTGTGTTAACTTCCCTGTCATGAAGTAAAGTGCTATAAGAATCACTACACACATATTTATTTGTGTGTATACATGCTTTTGTTTTATCAAATATTTTATTTATTTATTTAATTCATTTTATTTATTTATTTGACTTATTTCTTATTTGTATTGTATGTATTTATTGTATTGTTTTGATACATTTTATTTATTGTATCCACTGTAGTCCAGCAGATGGCAGTAGGGCTCCAAATCAACGACAAAAAAATCGAAGATGAAGAACCCGCCGTCTGCGCATGCGTACTCCGGCATACCGGTTAGAAAACAATGGAGTCAGACGTACACACCGGACTGTCTTAAATAACGGAATCAAAAAGCACTTTTATTTACCAGTATTATAAAATAACAGCGGAGGTTAAACTCAGGAAACTGTGACACCGTCTACAAATGATTAAACTTTAAAGAAATACTGCTTAATATTGAAATAGTGTTGAGTAACCGAGTTCCCCTGCTGTGTCTGATTGTCCTCTGAAGTCCTTCTGCGTCTTTGTCTGTGAAATAAGAGTAAAAGGTGAGTACAAATCTTAAAATATAAGCTTTAATGTTCTGATTATCTATTAGGAATACATGTTGTAAAGATATGAGGTCGTATGGGGTCCTTCAGGGGCGATGGCTAATCTTGTGGTAAGATCTATTATTGCATTTACTGTGTTACATATTTCTAATTCATCTGGGTTAGGAATCAAATGTAATATTATTATGTATCACGAGCTGTCTATTTATCTACGGAAGATACGAGCTGTCTATTTAGCTACGGAAGATACGAGCTGTCTATTTAGCTACGGAAGATACGAGCTGTTTATTTAGCTACGGAAGAGGATTAGGGCCATATGAGATACAATTTATTGGGATGTGACCGGATGTGACCAAAGGGAAAATACCTTTGAATTTCTGAGAAAAATATCTGATCTGTTTTTTTAATTATTATTTATTATATTTATTACAGTTCTATATATATTTGTAATTAAAGGTCCCATGTCATGCTTTTCCGGTTATTACCCATCTCCTTGTGTGTTATGTAGGTTTTTCTGCATGTAAACGGTCTGCAGAGTCACAAACCCTCAAAGTACACCCTGTAGCGAGTAAAACTAACACAGAAAAGACCTGTCTATGCTGCCCCAGAACGCCTCGTTGGACATTTCTCTTTTTCCATTTGTGTCTTCCTGGTCACAGTGACGTATGGACGACCAAATGGACCAATCTGTGGAGCTCTTCACACACACACACACTCACTCAGCCTTATCTTTTCTCAGGCTGTGGGTGTTTCTCAATGTCGAGTACGCTTGCTTGGTAGCACATGTCTTCCGAGTCACTTGCTTCAGAAACGAGGCAAGAATCCTTCCTGGCATTCGGAAAACGAAGAGTGGAACACGCTAGCAGGTGTGCGTCATATGAAAGGCCCCGCCTTACATTTTCCGCCACAGATTTGGGGAAATTGGTCCGTGCGCAAAGCATTGTGGGGATTTTAAGACCGCAGAGTCTACACATGTGCAGCCTCGAAATTTCTCGCTACAAAGTATGCCGGGCTCTGAAGCAGCTTTACTCGCGATTGAGAAACACCCACAGTGTCTCGCAGACCCCACGCAGCAACCAGGAAATTACACCAGTAATCCAGCTCACACTGTCTGTTCCTCGAGCCTCAAAGGGCTGAGCAGCGAGCCCCGCAACGGCCCCCAGACCCCACGCAGCATTCTCATCTGTTTGTCATTACTGGTGTCATTTCCTGGTTGCTAACAAACGCCATTGTAACACATAAACACTGATGTTCCGCTGTAACGGTGGTGGACTCATCAGAACAGAGTGGGCGAGCTGACCAATCAGAGCACACTGGGCTCACAGGGAGGGGGGGGAGGGCAGGAGCTCCAACAAGCCGTTTAGGACACAGAGTGAATACACATACTATACAGAGATGCTGTATGAGAAACCAATGTGAGTTTGGAACATTGAACAATGTAAATCTATTCTAGTAGACCTCAACAATGGAATTATGATCAGTAGAAATGGCCATGAGTCATGGGACCTTTTAATGTTTATTGTTTCTTATTGAAATCAGATTTTTGAGATGTCCTCATGTGTCCCTAATCCTCTTCCTTAGGTATAAAATACAATACACACCACTTTTTTCTGTATTTACGTGACTTATTTGAAACATAATTACATCTCTGTGATTGTGTCTGTTTCTGTTTTACTGCGTATATAATTACCCTGAGCCATTAAAAAGTTAATGACAGGGTACTGTGTGTTCATTTCCCACCATTTATATGGCTGTTGTTTCGATGATTAGTGCTCTGCCTGTGATTGGATAACAGTGAGAGGAGGGCGGGGCTTAGAAGCAAAGACATCTCCCAGTAGCAGGACAGTCCTCATGCTTCAGAGGACATGACCAGCAATAGGAAGCTAATAGTGCTTTAATCTTTATATATCTTTACATATATATATATAACGTGCTCTATTCACAGGTAACCGCAGAGGAAGATGTCAGAGGTCAACGTACCGAAGCGCAAGGAGAAGTGTGAGAACTGCACCAAACAGGTGAGCTCCTGCAACTATTTGTTAAATGAGTGAATTCATTCATATTTAAAGCACATGTTCATACGGAAATGTCAGCGTTCGGCCTGTGTAATGTGGAGATGTCTTGCGTCACTTTTAACAGCATATTCTAGCATTAAATACCATGTGTTTTTCATGCTTTTTTGTACTTGTTTGTGGCCCTATAGTGACTTTATATTTGGATCTGCTTCTCAGGAGTAAAGCTGCACACATGTTTTGATTGACAGTAAAGAAATCTGCGGATTTAGCCTCTCAAATATGGAGATTAGCTGCTTTTCTCTGTTTAATATCTTGTTTAAGTGACACCTGGTGGACTTTGAGGATATTTAACAAATAATGAAAACCATAACTAGTTGCAGACTTAGTTTTTGCTCACATATATATCAGTTGATTATCTTATGCATGCTGAATTTGAAAACAAATGTAACATGTATCGATGTTTCACACAGTGCAACAAGAAGCAGAGTGAAGATGGTGCCGACTCACACCTGGAGACAGAGGAAGTCAATGGACAGGTAATGCAAAAATAAATCCACCTGAGATGTTCCTACACTCGAGTTTTTGAACAACGCAGTACATGTGTGTCAAAGCATTTATTCAGACTGGCTCGATACCACTTTTTAATATCCCAACCTTGAGTATCTGCTCAAATCTGATGCTGTGTTTTCTCTTCACTTAAACCACTAAGCTTCTGTAATCACACATTTGTATGGATGCACTTTGCTTGTTAGGTCTGCCCCTCTTAGTCTCCGTTGACTAAGATTTCTTTAGACATTGTATCCGAGTTATAGTTTTTTTTTAAGGACAGGTTTCCAAAATAAATGTGAGCCCCTCTTCGGTAAACACGAGCTCAAACTTCTGCGTGATTCACGGCTCAGAAACTCTCACAGATCCGTCAGATTCCTAGCATTCACCAAGCATGGGAGGAGAGATGGCATCAAGTTGCATTATGGGAAGTGTAGTTTCCAATGAGCAATGGTCAAGAAATGTCTCCCTCGGTTGCTCCGACCAATATTTATTGAAAAGGGCCCTATCACTATATACTGATATACACCTGAACATCAGCAGGAGAGGACTCTTTAAAGTAGAGACACTACACACTGATATACACCTGAACATCAGCAGGAGAGGACTCTTTAAAGTAGAGACACTACATACTGATATACACCTGAACATCAGCAGGAGAGGACTCTTTAAAGTAGAGACACTACACACTGATATACACTTGAACATCAGCAGGAGAGGACTCTTTAAAGTAGAGACACTACATACTGATATACACCTGAACATCAGCAGGAGAGGACTCTTTAAAGTAGAGACACTACACACTGATATACACTTGAACATCAGCAGGAGAGGACTCTTTAAAGTAGAGACACTACATACTGATATACACCTGAACATCAGCAGGAGAGGACTCTTTAAAGTAGAGACACTACACACTGATATACACCTGAACATCAGCAGGAGAGGACTCTTTAAAGTAGAGACACTACATACTGATATACACCTGAACATCAGCAGGAGAGGACTCTTTAAAGTAGAGACACTACATACTGATATACACCTGAACATCAGCAGGAGAGGACTCTTTAAAGTAGAGACACTACATACTGATATACACCTGAACATCAGCAGATGAGGACTCTTTAAAGTAGAGACATTACATACTGATATACACCTGAACATCAGCAGGAGAGGACTCTTTAAAGTAGAGACACTACATACTGATATACACCTGAACATCAGCAGAAGAGGACTCTTTAAAGTAGAGACATTACATACTGATATACACCTGAACATCAGCAGGAGAGGACTCTTTAAAGTAGAGACACTACATACTGATATACACCTGAACATCAGCAGAAGAGGACTCTTTAAAGTAGAGACATTACATACTGATATTCACCTGAACATCAGCAGGAGAGGACTCTTTAAAGTAGAGACACTACATACTGATATACACCTGAACATCAGCAGAAGAGGACTCTTTAAAGTAGAGACATTACATACTGATATACACCTGAACATCAGCAGGAGAGGACTCTTTAAAGTAGAGACACTACATACTGATATACACCTGAACATCAGCAGGAGAGGACTCTTTAAAGTAGAGACACTACATACTGATATACACCTGAACATCAGCAGGAGAGGACTCTTTAAAGTAGAAACACTACATACTGATATACACCTGAACATCAGCAGGAGAGGACTCTTTAAAGTAGAGACACTACATACTGATATACACCTGAACATCATCAGGAGAGGACTCTTTAAAGTAGAGACACTACATACTGTTACCCCCCGTTTCCCTCCAGTTCCCTGAAGAATCCCCCCTGCTGCTCAGCTCCTGTCTGTCCTGTGACGGCTGTCTGTCGGAGGAGGAGAGTCTGAAGATCTCTCAGCAGAACCTGGAGGAGCTGGAGCGAGTGCTGGCGCTCAACAAGGTAAAAACTCATAATAATAACAATAATAAAACAACCTCTGAAATCGGACAATACTGGGGAGTGTTGCACTTCGAATAACATCCGAGAAACGGGACAAACGATATAACTTAAGGGTGAGGACATTTTGATAAACTTTAAAGGTGATGGATTAAATACAATTATTGTTTTATTTTATAAAACTAGTTTTGTCTTTGGGAGCATTTAATATTCACAAGAGAAAAATGTGAGTGGCTTCAGACCAAATATTGCACACTTTTATTTGGAAAATCGAGACCAAATATGTGTATTTGATAAACCTTACCTTTTGTGTTTGTCACTATTTTCTTTATTTCTTAATGTTATACTCTGTGTGTGTACCTGTGTACCGTTGACCGTGTTTTGTGTGTATATAATTGTTTGATCGATATATATTTTCTTGAAAAAAGGGGAGTTTCACACTTTAAAGATGTCCCTCTGTTGTGTCTCCTCGCTCTCAGAAGTGTGACGTGTCGAAGCGACGGGTCCTGGTCGCCTCGGTGTGTCCGCAGTCTCTGCCTTTCTTCGCTGTGAAGTTCGGAGTGGACATCACAGAGGCAGCGCACAAACTCTGCGGCTTCCTCAAGAGTTTAGGTACGCCTTTAGAATAATAATTGTTATTTTATTCTTTTTTTATTTATTTTATTTATTTGTATTCTTATTTAATTTGTGTTCCTTTTATTTAAAAATTAATTATAATTATTTTTATAATTTTCTTATTATTATTATTATTAAAAAAACATTTTTCATTATTTTCATTTTTTTATCTAATTCTTGTTTTTTTAAATTAATTTATTCAGTTGTATTTTTATTTAAATTGTATTCTTATATCATTTTAATGTTATCATTTTGTATTTATTCATTTTTATTTATTTTATACTTGTTTTCTTCATTCCTGTGTTTATTGACTGCTATTGGTAGAATTGTTTTTATGTGTGATTTATGAAGCACTTATCGCCACTTTTGTGTATGAAAAGTGCTTTATAAATAAAGTTTGATACCCGTTTTAACCAACACAGTACAGAACCACAGATGCTCCACTTCCCATTTTCCTTTATCTGAGGCCTGTACTACGAAGCCGGATGTTCGCTTAGCCGGCTGACTTCAGGGAGAACTCGGGCTTTCCGGTCCTACGACGCTGGTTCTCTTTTTAGCAGGCTAGATCTCCATGGTAACTTATGCTGAGCGGCAAACCTCCTCGGGAGCAGGTTAGGTTGCAGGCTAAGAGATCAACTCAGTGAAAGCACCGCCTGCTGACCAATCAGAGCTCCGTGTGCGGAGTTTAAAGCGATCAAGTCATATTACAGGATAGAGGAAATACAGAAAAACTGCCGTTGCAGGAAAGACGGCCGGCCAAAATCAACTGACTGTGTGAACGTGAACATTAATAGAATATCCCCTCCCATCTTCAGAGCAATCTGACTATTATAACATTAGCGTTAAGAAAGCTTACTTAAATATCTGCCACGACATAAGTAACCGGATCAGAGTAACATTAAGTACAGTCCGCGGCACTGTGAGTGCAGACGTCGATGTGTCCCTTTATCATTCATATCATATCACATCATAATGTATCATATATTTCCTTATTTGAGTCAGCTTCTTGAGCCGTATCTGGCCGTGCAACACTCACAGTGTCACATACTGTATGCAGAAGTATTATTTTAAGCAACACATTAAGTTGACGAAACACTCGAGTCAAATGTAATTAAAGTCAGATCGTGTCTTGGACGGGGCAGTGATTTCATAAACCTGTTAATGTACGCATTCAAACACTGTTTCTTTTACCAGCTGTATTCACCTTGCAGGTGCAGCTATGTGGCTTTTATCCTGGATAAAGTGTTTAAGTCATGGATGTTTAAAGTTTAACTTCTTCATATTTGACTAATATTAAAGTTCACTTTTCATTCAGGAAGTATGACGCTGCGCTGTCAGTACGCTTGTCCGTGTTTGAGATTGGTCGAATGCTCCAAATACCACCCCTTTCATGTGAACGCGCACCTAACTAGATAGGACACGGCTGGCTTGAGCGATCCACTTGATAACCAGCGTCGTAGTACAGCTTAGCCAGAGCGCGTATGTTTTGGATTGGGCCAACCGGCTAACTCAAACATATCCAGGTTAGGTTGAACCAGCTTCGTAGTACAGGCCTCTGATCTTACCTCTCTGTTGTTGTTGTTGTTTGTGTGTCCTTGTAGGAGTGCACTTTGTGTTGGACAGCACTCTGGCTGCAGGCTTCAGTATCTTAGAGAGTCAGAAGGAGTTTGTTCAGAGGTTTCGCCGGAGGAACCAAGACTCCACCGCTCTGCCCATGTTCACCTCCTCCTGCCCGGGTAAACCTCCCTCTCTCCTCCCCGTTTACCCCCCACTGTCTCACTGGTTCAGCCAATCAGAGGTGGGAAGTAGTGGAGTACAAATACTTTGTTACTGTACTTAAGTACATGTTTCTGGTATCAGTACTTTACTCCACTACTTATTTTTCTGACTACTTTTTACTTTGACTTCTTACATTTTGAACACAAATACCTGTACTTTCTACTTCTTACATGTTGAACCCAAATACCTGTACTTTCTACTTCTTACATTTTGAACACAAATACCTGTACTTTCTACTTCTTATATTTTGAACCCAAATACCTGTACTTTCTACTTCTTACATTTTGAACACAAATACCTGTACTTTCTACTTCTTACATGTTGAACACAAATACCTGTACTTTCTACTTCTTACATTTTGAACACAAATACCTGTACTTTCTACTTCTTACATTTTGAACCCAAATACCTGTACTTTCTACTTCTTACATTTTGAACACAAATACCTGTACTTTCTACTTCTTACATTTTGAACCCAAATACCTGTACTTTCTACTTCTTACATTTTGAACACAAATACCTGTACTTTCTACTTCTTACATGTTGAACACAAATACCTGTACTTTCTACTTCTTACATGTTGAACACAAATACCTGTACTTTCTACTTCTTACATGTTGAACACAAATACCTGTACTTTCTACTTCTTACATTTTCCAAACAGGCTGGTTCCTTTAGTTTGAATGTGTGTTTGGTGGCGTGATCATTATTATTTAGAGTCATTGCGTGCCTATTGATTTGAACACGATCCGTGTATCCATCATTTCCTGGTCTTCTCTAAAGAAGAGGGACCAATGAAAACGTTGTCATGTTGCCGTTGTTCAGCATGGAAACATTCATTAGCTAACAATGACATTATTGTTCTATTAATATAAAGGGAGGTCAGGTACTCTTTAAAACAGCTGCTAGTTATGGGTACTTTTTACTGAAGTACATTTCAAAGCCCTCTTTACTTTAACTTTAAAGAAGTTTAGTCAGTACTTCTACTTTCACTACTCGGGTCACTTCATGACCCGAGTAGTGTCCTAACATGTGTTTTTCTTTATTCTGCTGAGCTCACAGCACTACAGTCCTCGACATGAGGAGGAGTGAATGGTTTTGCGGCTGCAGCTCGTTTTATAGCAGAGATATCAGTGGGGCTGCAGGGAAGAGATAGAGAAGCTCCCACCACTCCCTTCATCACAGATATGAACCCAAGAGAGAGACTTTTTCCAACAAATGCATTGACTTCCATTCATTCAGCTTGTAGAGTTAGTTATCTTAAAGTGGACCTATCATGCTATATTTGAATAATATAGTGTAGGACCATACCTATATAAGGCATATTTATACTTTTTTTTTTCAAAATACCAAACAGATCATGCATTTTAGCCATGCCTCATTTTGCTCAATTTGACATTTTTTAGCTCTGTTTTTGCAAGGGCTGATTCTGTGAGAACAGCACCACCTACAGGCCTGGCATATGTACTACAGCGTCTCCAGCGCTTTCGAACGGCAATGGCCGTGGCTGTCTCCTCCTGATTGGTGGAGTTGGCCCAATAGCCGTAGCGCCACCGTCCTGACGTCAGGACAGTGTTCAAATCTGGATCAGTTTTTATCAGATCCGTTGCAGCCCCTTTTTTAGAGATTTGGGTATGGAGGAAAATAGAGAGGGTTGTGTTTTCTGACACTTGGTGAGTTCCCTGGAACACCGGGGACACATATTCATGTAGAAAAGACGTACAAAAGTGCATTTTGCATGATAGGTCCCCTTTAAGTGTTGTGTGTAGAGGGTTCAATGTTAGTTTAACAATGTGTGTTAATCAGAAACAGGTTTATCACCAGGTAGGTTAACACAAACAAGGAATTGTACTTGGTGTTGTGGTGCATACATCAAATACAACAAAGATTTAAAACACAGATAGAAAACAATTTGAAGAAAACTATAATAACATAAAAAAGATATTTACAGTAGCAGTATTTACATTGTGTGTGTGTGTGTGTGTGTGTGTGTGTGTGTGTGTGTGTGTGTGGTGTGTGTGTGTGTGTGTGTGTGTGTGTGTGTGTGTGTGTGTGTGTGTGTGTGTGTGTGTGTGTGTGTGTGTGTGTGTGTGTGTGTGTGTGTGTGTGTGTGTGTGTGTGTGGTGTGTGTGTGTGTGTGTGTGTGTGTGTGTGTGTGTGTGTGATGTGTGTGTGTGTGTGTGTGTGTGTGTGTGTGTGTGTGTGTGTGTGTGTGTGTGTGTGTGTGTGTGTGTGTGTGTGTGTGTGTGTGTGTGTGTGTGTGTGTGTGTGTGTGTGTGTGTGTGTGTGTGTGTGTGTGTGTGTGTTGTGTGTGTGTGTGTGTATGTGTGTGTGTGTGTGTGGTGTGTGTGTGTGTGTGTGTGTGTGTGTGTGTGTGTGTGTGTGTGTGTGTGTGTAGGGTGGATCCGGTACTCGGAGCGTGTTCTGGGCAGTCTGGTGACTCCTCATATCTGCACAGCCAGGTCTCCTCAGCAGATTATGGGATGTCTGGTCAAAGACTTCTTCTCCAAACAGCAGGTGAGCTGAGAGTCAAGGGGCGGGACATCCCTAAGCTGTGGACCAATCACAACAGCCGGAAAACATAACATGTTAATAATGAATAAAACAATTTAAAAATGTAAAAGCAAAACAAATAAAAAATACAGTAAAACATGGACAATGATACTAGTGACAATTGAAAGTGAACCCAAACGTTCTGTAGACTCTGGGTTTATAGAACATATTTGTGTAAAACGCTCCGTACACCAGCTTCTTCCTCATCATATGTTAATGCCTCTGGTGTTGTTTGTGTCTCTGAGCAGAAGCTGAGTCCAGAGAAGGTGTTTCATGTGTTGGTGGCTCCGTGTTTCGATAAGAAGCTGGAGGCCGTGAGAGAGGAGTTCTACAACGGCCTGCTGGAGAGCCGCGACGTGGACTGTGTCCTCACCTCAGGTACGCTCACCTCCATCTCAATAACAACTGTGAATGCTGTCAGCTGCGTAAATGTGTTGCTCAACTCGGCTGAAAATGCAGAAAAAGCTGAATAGTTGAATGATGTCTTTAGCTGAAAGTAGGCTGAAGGAGTTGGATATCAAATGTACGTAGTAGTATAATGTAAGTACAAGTTGTAGTAGTAGTAGTAGTGGTAGTAGTAGTAGTTGTAGTAGTAGTAGTAATAGTAGTATTAGTAGTTGTAGTAGTAGTAGTACCCGTTGTAGTTGTAGCAGTACTGGTAGTAGTTGTAGTTGTAGTAGTAGTAGTAGTAGTAGTAGTACCGGTAGTAGTAGTAGTAGTACCGGTAGTAGTAGTAGTAGTTGTAGTTGTTGTACCGGTAGTAGTAGTAGTAGTTGTAGTAGTTGCGGTAGTAGTAGTTGTAGTAGTAGTTGTAGTTGTTGTTGTAGTAGTAGTAGTTGTTGTAGTAGTAGTAGTAGTGTGTATGTATTGATTTTAATCTTTGGTGTTCCAGGGGAGATCTATCACCTGATGGAGCAGAGGAAGGTGTCGGTGGAGGAGCTGGACTCAGTTCCACTGGACCACGTGTGAGTACTTACACTGGTTATCATGAATTTACAGGAAGAAAAATCTCAATATTCGGTGCTGTTTTTGCAAATCAACCACTTTAAATCTCGTAGAATATTACATTTTTCAGAGTATTTCACCACGTCTGTTTTTAGCAGTGTGCAGTATATATATATACATGTATTTAGTATATATAAAATACTGTGTTTGCAGGCTGGGTGAGGCTGGAGACGCGGCGTTGCTGAGGCACGAGGGCCGAGGATCTGAAGGATTTCTGGAGCACGTTTTCAAACACGCTGCGAAAGAACTGTTCGGTCTGGAGGTTCAGGAGATCACGTACAAGTCTCTGAGGTGAAGCACACTAGAGAGATGTAGATCCTTAGATAGGGAGGAAGAGCACCAAGAAATAGCCGTTATATATCAGGATGTGCCAGTGTTTCAGTCTATAGTCAGGGAAGACCATCCAACACGAGCGTATAGGTTGCAGTGGGGCGTCACTTACACAGCAGTCTGAGACTCTTCTCTTCCTCGTTGGTCTTCCAGGAACAGAGACTTCCAGGAGGTGACTCTGGAGCGCGACGGGGAAACTTTGCTGCAGTTTGCGGCGGTTTACGGCTTCAGGAACATCCAGACTCTGGTTCACCGCATGAGGAAGGGCCGCGTTCCCTACCAGCTGGTGGAGGTGCTGTCCTGCCCCGGAGGTAACCACACAACCACATACAGGACTTTAGAATTAAAGTGTTATCCCGTCAGATCGAGCCTCAAAAACTACCTTTAAGGGTCTAGAAAATACTGGTGTCCTTCAGATTAAAGCACATATACAGCACTTAATGTTTTTTAAGTAAAAAGCTAATGTTGGGCTATAAAGGAACTACAGCACGGTCACATGACTTCACGTCACCACCGCTAAGCTAAAGGTGGCTAATGTTGGGAAAGGAACTACAGCACGGTCACATGACTTCACGTCACCACCGCTAAGCTAAAGGTGGCTAATGTTGGGAAAGGAACTACAGCACGGTCACATGACTTCACGTCACCACCGCTAAGCTAAAGGCGGCTAATGTTGGGCTATAAAGGAACTACAGAACGGTCACATGACTTCACGTCACCACCGCTAAGCTAAAGGCGGCTAATGTTGGGCTATAAAGGAACTACAGCACGGTCACATGACTTCACGTCACCACCGCTAAGCTAAAGGAGGCTAATGTTGGGCTATAAAGGAACTACAGCACGGTCACATGACTTCACGTCACCACCGCTAAGCTAAAGGCGGCTAATGTTGGGCTATAAAGGAACTACAGAACGGTCACATGACTTCACGTCACCACCGCTAAGCTAAAGGCGGCTAATGTTGGGCTATAAAGGAACTACAGCACGGTCACATGACTTCACGTCACCACCGCTAAGCTAAAGGAGGCTAATGTTGGGCTATAAAGGAACTACAGCACGGTCACATGACTTCACGTCACCACCGCTAAGCTAAAGGTGGCTAATGATGAGGTTCAGTCGTCTTATTTAGACACTTGTTAGAAACTTTCTTCTGAAAAATGTCAAACTGTGTTTTTAAAGCATCTTTTTATGTACATTTAAACCCACAAACACCCTTCTTTTGCTGCAGGGTGTCTGAGCGGCCGGGGTCAGGCTGAGAGTGATGGGGGGGGCCGTGTGGATAAAGCTCTGGTGCAGCAGATGGAGGACGCCTACAGCAGCCTGCCGGTCCGCCTGCCCGAGCTGAACCCCGTCCTGCAGACTCTGTACCGGGAGTGGCTGCAGGGCCACGACTCGACACACACACACACACTGCTTCACACACACTACAGCAGCCAGACACACACACAACCCCCACACATGCAGTGGTGAGGAGGAGGAAGATGGACCATGTTATCATGAAGAACAAAGTGTCGGAGCAGGAAGCAGTTCCTCCGTTAGGACACTAGGGGGAGACGTCTGTGTTTAAAAAAACATGGAGGATTAAACTGTGCCAAAACCTGAGGAGGAACGAGGGTCCGGAGAACCAGAAAATACTCTTAGAGAAGATCAATGAGGTGCAGGAGGGAAGAGGAGGTGCATTTACAGAGCAATAAACAGCTGAGGGGGAAATCAAGGCGTTTAGGGCCGGGCAATATGGAGTACAGCTGAACAATTAGTTGGCATTTCATGGAA